AGAAAACGCAATAGTTCTTTTCTCTCGAGCTTAACGTATCCCTTTTGGACACATGTGACGCAATCTTGTGTTGGATTGTTTCTAAAGTATGAAACTAATTGATGTACGCTAGTTCGTACTGGTAGGGATGTTGATTTTAAAGTTACTTTTTTCTAGAAAGTGGAAAAAAGTGGATTTTAAAGTTACTTTTCGTTTTTTCCCTTGTACTGGTAGTGATGTTGATTTTAAAGTTACTTTAGTATATGATTCATTCTAATTTGGGTTTATGATGATACTTGAGTGAGATGTATTTACTTTGATGTGAGATTTTAAGAAAACGCCTTATATATCCCCAATATTGTAATTTACGAAGCAATGGCTTAAAATTTTGAAATTTGTTGATGTGTTATTCTCTCGTCCCTTCTCACAAATATACCTTGTTAAAACAACATTTACTTTTGTAAAATATTATTAATTCTATGATCGAATATCCATTATTTTAATAGAAAAACCAATGTTACATCAAAATTCATTTTTCTCATGTTTGATCTTTTTTTTTCTTAAACTGAACAATCGTCTCGTATCGCTTACATAAAATGTATAGCGTTTTCCACATAACATATATGATTCAAAACTTTTTATAACAAACATAAATTATTCAAACCTAGAAATTTCATTTCGTACCAAAAAGCTTAATATGGTAAATTGTGAACCCTTGCTACAAAGAATCAGAACCTAAAATGAGTACATGGGTTCTCGACTACAACGTCTCAACTATGTCATTACTTAATATATACATTGCAAATTTTTGGTATGGGATCTTTTTTTTTTTTTGTCATCTGATTGATTATACTAAAAACACGGAGTTCCAAACGAGAGTTACGACCATGAGCCGGCAAGGAAATAAATCCATCCGGAGCCACAAGCCGGCATAACAAAATATTTCCCCAGGAGCTAAACAACTAAAACCCATAAGCTAGAACACAATCGAAACATAGATCCAAACCAATAAAAATAGAAACTACTAGAAAGTAAAAAAGCCATGAAACAGAAGATTGAATGTAGATGAGCATCCTATTGCCATAACTTATTGGGGGTCTAAATCATAAGCAGAAACTTGGTATTAGTGAAACCAAAAATGAACTCTGCTTGATAACAACCTAGGAAGACTACGAATATGATGTTAACAATCGACTACCAACGACAATATGCTTCTTTTGAGCCGAAACTCCTTTTCTTGAGATGGAGACTGCATAAAACAGAGGCGAACCCATAGCATCCAACCTGTAGCTCCTGAAATCAAGGTAAAGCATCCTCCAAAACCCAACTTCTCCACCACTGGAAACTTCTATACACAACTTACACCAAAACCAAGGACGGTTCGACCAGAGACGAGGACCACGAGGATCTTTAGATCTGGTCACTGAGATCCTGAACAGGTTAGACAACTACGAGCTGACACCAACCGCGGCTCAAAGCACCACCGCCTGAAGACGGCTTGCTGCCATCAAAACCACCGTCAAGTACGGTGTTAAAGAACTAGATCTGCATCCCGAAGCCTCCGAATCTAAGAGTTACACCGATAAAACACAATAACAATGAAAATTTATAAACCTAAACCAAGCCGGACCGACGCCGTGGCTATGGAAGCCAACGCGCGTCGGCAAGACTCAAATTATTTTTTTTTTGTTAATCTCATGGCGACCAACTCTTAGCATTTTCCAACATGTGAGATTATATGTAATTATTATCAATCAAC